TTCAGTCCGCCTGTCAGCCAATCTACACAAACACGCACATTGGACTGACTCCGCGCGGTCCCAGTTATCCCTTCAGTCGGCAAGTCACGACGCTTAAAGGACCGTGATAACTCCAAGCGCGTCAGATTGTTTAGTGTTGGCAGTGGCAGGCAGATAATAGGGGCACCACCGTATCGACTTTTTCGGCTGCACAATGTGATGAAATTACTCGAATGCCATCGATGAAGTGCTGAGAAAACTGGTTTCAGGTGCACTCCGTCTGACCAGACACCCTAAGTATGGTTTGCGGTTGTCAGTAGCCGGAAGGCAAATGATAATCAGGGATGACATGACGCCCACATATTAACACAGGTGTCACTGTTTGCAAGTAGGCGATGTCCAGCCGACCAAGTGAAGAAACATTACCAACGTCCCTACCCAACCTAGCCTGTCTACGGAACTGCAGACATTTAAATGCATTTACTAAACTGTTATTCGGGTAAAAACCTTTGAATAACCAATGAGAGATATCCCGCGGGAGCACTGGGGAGAGGATAGAAAAACCTTAATTGCACGCAAAACACTGACCCTTTATGACAACCAAGGCCAATCAGTGGAGTTTGAAGGGGGCAAAATATCGCTAGTATCAGTGATTATAATAGATGAGAAAAAATCCAAAAAAGCTCACAAATAAAAGCTGCAACACAACTTACCGGAAGCCTGTTTTGAGTTGGCAATGTCCAGCAGGGCAGCGTACCGTTCAACAATCTCATCAAACTCCTTTCTGTAGGCCTACACATACGGAGAGAACAAAAGTGTACTCTTGCATGAACGGCAAGGCCAAATGCGAATTACTGAGACAACTGTAAATACACTACTTTCTTCATTTCAGTAGATTATTTTGTTGGCGATAATTGTAACTTCCCATGCACACTTGCACACCTGCCTGAAGCTTACAAACCCTACGCCCATTCACTTATCCATTGCAGATGCTGCGAACAAGTTACTGTAAACGGCATCTCAGAATTTCGCGTACTGAAGAGAACCCCACCCTCCTTGAAGACGTATAGGTGATCTTAGCTGCGTACTACATGCAGGGAGACAGTATAGCGACAAAAACAGGAAGACAACCCTAGGGTCTGACAATAACACCAAACTCCCTTTTCATAGGCCCATAGATAGAGGAAACATAAGCTTACTCTTGCGACTATAGACCATAAACGGGAAGGCCAAACATCACGCCAACAAAACAACACTACATACATTCTCCAGCTCCTGGGACAGGTTCGTGTACTCGGACTCAAGACGGCGGTAATCATCCTGCAAGGCCTCATACTCAGGCCTGGGGACAGCGGATTCCACCTGACTGGCGAGATGATTGCAATCAGCCTCAAGTTTGGCGCATTTGGACTGGAGGTCCTCATGTTCGGTAAGTGGAACGGAAGATGCCACCTTTTGTGCCAATTCCTCTTTCAACTGGACGGGAGAGAGAGAGAGAGCAAGAAGAATGATAAGTACAGACGTGGACAGTAGGCGCAAACGCAGTCATACCACAGGGGGCTTAAATGCAATATGGGGGGAGGTGAAAACCAAAAAAACCAGTGCCGGTTAATGAAAGACCTTCGAACGAACTCACAAGGTTGCCGTGCTGGCAAATCCCCGGCACTGTGTCCACTCATTGATGAACGTTCGCCCTGACCACTGACAGAACTCAGCTGTCCCGCTCTGCCTTGGGTCTCGACAGAGGTCCTGACAGCCGTAACAGGTGGAAGTAGGAAGATAGCAGTGCGGCCAAAGGCAAAAGAGACTGGAACGGCCATTTCTGGTTCATTAGCCGTTGTCAGCCGGTCATACCCAGACTCAAGTGGTGTCCCAGCCCGGGCCTCGAACTCGTGACCTTTTTGAACGTTCATAATTGAGTGTCCATATCCCCTGACCTAAACTGGCGACATAAAGAGCTCGTGACGCAGTGGCTAGGACGTTTGGCGCTGACCAAAAGGTTGCAGGTTTGAGGCTCGGGTGACACCAATTGAGTCTGAGCATGACTGGCTGACGACAGTAAAAGAGCCAGAAATGACCATTCCAGTCTTCCTTGCCTTTGTCGGCAATACTGACTGCGTGCATTCACCCGTGTGTTGGATCGACAGCAACTGCTTACTTGGTACGGCTGCGATCATGCCTGACCTAGCCG